GCAAACATTCTATCACTGAGCCACACTCCTAACCCAAAATCAGGGAATTTCTATGTCCTCTATCTTTCGTGGCCACCTTTAAAAAAAGTTTGTCTCTTTTTTTTGGCGGGGGGGCGGGTACCAGGGATTGAACTCAGGGGCACTCAACCACTGAGCCACATCCCCAGCCCTATTTTTGTATTTTTACTTAGAGACAGGGTCTCACTGAGCTGCTTAGCACCTCGCTTTTGCTGAGACTGGCTTTGAACTCCTAATCCTCCTGCCTCAGCCTTCAGAGCTTCTGGGATTACAAGGGTGTACCACCATGCCCAGCTAACAAAGTTTATCTCTTGATAAGGTATTCTCGGTTTCCTTTTTGATTTCCAGCCACTCCTTAATCTTCACTCTTCTTCCTTCTCCCCCAGTCTCCTTCTCCCTATATCTTTTCTGCTTTATGCCAGTGTCCCTTTCCCCATCCTTTTATACCATCTTTACCCAGCCCTCCCCAAGTAATAGGATTCCCTGAGGCTCCTAGAAGGAACAGTGGCCTCAAGGGGCTTCACTGCTAAATCCATGACCACCAGACTAAGTCTTTTCTAGGATGAAGCCTATAGACACCTCCCTCTCCTTTTCCCTGCTCCCTCCTTTCTTCTGCTCAGCAGCCATATTATCCTGGAGACTTTTGTGTGTGCCCCTTAAGGAGGGCCTCCTACAGGGCTTACCTCTTCCCTCTTCATGCTGTTCCCATCACCCTGGCTCACATGAGATTTGTTCCCAGTCATGACCCCTGAGATCCACCATGGTGGACCTTTTGTACAGCAGGAGAGGAATCTGGCTCCTCCCCAGATGTACTGGATTGGGACCTTTATGATGTATGGCCCTCATGGATGTGTAGATTCATCATGGCTCATGACATCATTGGATGCTCTCCCTCACAGAAACTTCTCTACCTGTGGGGTTATTTTCTTTTGTCCTCCTTTCCCTGACTGCCCTGTTTCTGGAATCTCCTCTATTCCCATAAACATTGGTGCTCCCCACAGGTTTTCCTGGACTACTGCTTTGTGGATGATCTATATTCCTGAAATTACTGTGATCTGAACCCTTAATTCTCCCAGATAAAAATCTCTAGACTGGTCTGAATTGAACCCCTGAATTGTGACCCTTCCTATGTCTCTTGCCTCCATCCTTATTTTACACAACCAAACCTAAACTTGTGATTTTGCTCTTAAGCTCCCATCCACCAATTGCCTTCTCTCCCTGGGTTCCCTATTTCAGTTAAAAAGAACACTCCTCCCTGGAGTTCAAGCCAAAATACCCCTGCTGTACCCTCCCTTCGTCTCATCCTGTGGACTATCTGCTGGACTATTGCCTTATCCTCACACAATTCCCTCCCTCTATTATCTTCTTCTCCTTGGCATAGAGCAAACACCCTCCTGTTTGGAAACCTTAGAGACCCTGCTGTCTTGGCCCTTCTCATTTTAACTTTGAGCTTCTCAATTCATTCAGGTAGTTCAACACACATTATTGCTGGGAATTGTTCTAGGTGTTGGAAATAGCAGTGATTTATATCTGCCACAACTGCCATGTACAGCCACCTAGATGAAGCATTCTCTAACATGACTCTTGGACTTTTCCTATGTTCTTCTCTCTGCCTAACTTGCTCTTTCACAACAGGAAAAATAGCCCATCTTTTGAGACCTAGTATAGATGTCTTCTCATCCAGAAGCTGTCTGAAGCTTCTGTCTTCCCCCAGAACATGCAGAAATGTGTTTTGCAGAGATTTGTTTGCACATCTGTTTTTAATCTAAACTGGAGGCTCCCAGAGGACTTGATCTGTATTTGTTCTAAATTTTTATTTTAATTAAATATTGAATTGGTGTTTATCAAGAATATAAGAACATTTGTAAAATATGTATACAATGTAAAGAATAACATTACAAGGAACACCTGGGGATCCAACTCCTCTTGTAAGAGATATGAAGTCTTTATACCATAAATACCTGGAACTAAACCAAGCATCAGAAAATGTTTCTGAATGACTAAAGGTCTGAATGAATTAATTTATTAATACTTGTCACTGGAGTCATGACCCATGAGATCCACCATAGTGGACCCTTTATACAGTAGGAAGGAATCTGGCTGCTCCCCAGATGTACTGGATTTGGACAGGGCTTGGGCATTTATGATGTATGGATGTGTAGCACTTACCAAGCAACATAAATACAGTAGCAATTTTTCCTGCAAGTCTCTCAGTTGCAGAGCAAGCTCCAGGTAAAATGGTTATAACTGAATGATGTCACTGCCCTTTCTTAGGCCCACTTCATGAGTTCACTATACTGTTCACACATCTTTTTGTTCATTTTGATATGTCCACTGAGTATCCTCAGTGCAAGCACAGTGCTGGGTCCCTGGAATACAATGGGGAGCAAAACAGTCAGAGATTTCTTCCTAGGGAGCTTCTATTTAAGTAACTCTTTAAAAAAAAGAAAAAAAGAATCCAAAGAACCTAAATTATGGTGCTTCCCACCCCTCTAAAGCTATACTGTGCTTTCCTAAAGGTAGTGTGGGACCGTGGTTAAGGATATGGACTGAAGACTTGAATGTTAGATTGCCAGCCCTACCACTTATGAGTCATCATGGATTTGCTGGGCCCTTAAGGAAGGCCTCCTACAGGGTTTACCTCTTCTCTCTTCATGCTGTTCCTAGAAGGAACACCTGGAACCACCCTGGCTTTGTAGCAATTTCCTTGTCTGTAACAAGAGCAAAATGGATTCCACACCATGAATTTGCTGCGAGACATAAAGGCATTAGTATGTGAAGAGTGGCTAGTGATGAGTGGCTCACAGTGAGGGCTCAGTATCATCACTGTTATTGTTAGCAGAGAATTCTCTGTGGTAGGGGAGACTTGCAGCCTGCAGCCTAGGAGGACCCTACTATTGTTGCTACAGTTTTCTCTCACATAGAGTTAGTTCTAGAGAGGGACTGAGTGCCATGCCAGGAACTTGCCATATTTCCTCAGCTCTAAAACATTTTGAGCCATGTATTACTGTTCTGAGCCATGATGGATCTATATTCCATCCATTCAGAATATACAAATTGAGCATCCAGTTTGTGCCAAGCCCTGGCTCTGGATAAAACATCTCCAAAAAGACTATACTATGATGCAGCATTGAAATAAAAAAATCACCATGTATACAGAAGATTGCCTGTCACTTACAAGCAACACAAATAGAGTAGCAATGGCTAAATTTTTCAGAAGTCCTTGAGGAGCTTGGAGAGAGGGTTATAGCCCTGTTACATGTAATAAAAGGCTGTTAATAGCTTCTGATTAGCCTTCAAAGGCTACTTTTAAATTCCAGCCACAAATAATTTAAGTAAAAAATTAAACTATTGCTGGGCATGGTGGCACACACCTGTAGTTCCAGCAACTCAAGAGGCTGAGACAGAAGGATTCCAAGTTCAAAGACAGCCTCAGCAATTTAGCAAGGCCCTAAGCAATTTAGTAAGACCCTGTCTCAAAAAATGAAAAGGGTTGGGGTGTGACTCAGTGGTAAGTACTTCTGGGTTCAATTTCCAGTACCCCGCCCCCCAAAAAAAGGAGGAGAAGGAAGAGAGAAAGAAAGAAGGAAGGAAGGAAGAAAGGAAGGAAGGAAAGGAGGGAGGTGGGAGAGAGGGAAAGGAAAGGAAGGGAGGAAGAAAGAAAGAAAAGGAAAGAAAGAAAGGCAGGAAGGAAGGAAGAAAGAAGCTATTAATTTAACCACATGGGAAACATTTCTTTTGGATATGTAGAAATTAGTCTACTGAAAGGCCCTAGAGGATCCCCCAGGTTCTGAGTGTGGGCCAGAGATGCTATGGCCATCACTATTCCAGGTTTCCTAGCTGGTGGCAAAGATGGCTCAGAGGGTTTAGGCTCAAACTCTTAATGTTTTACCAAGAATGCTGTTGGTTGATGAAAGGAATTTTCAATGGACACTTAGTGTTTCTTTTTTCCAGAAGAGTCTGTATTAGACTGAGGATATATTTCTCCAGTCCTGGTTTCTTGTAAGGGAAGAAGGACTTCAGAGGATCTTGGGGTGGGCCTCCCCATGTGGGCTTCTCATCTTCCCTCTGAAATGGCTTGTCATAGGGTGCTCTACCAGTTAGCTTCTGTGTCTTTTTGGTGAGCAGATGGTCTTCACATACTGAATCTTTTCTACCAAAATCCTCAGGGACTGGGGCCACTGGGGCAAAAGGGGTTAGGACTCGCTCCTCCATAGGCAGCCACAGCTAGGCCACTTTAGTGCCTCTAAGAAAGTCTGTCCTGGCTCCTGGGTGCCAGCAGCTGCTCAAATGAATACAGCACAATGTAATATGCAAGGTCTCGGGAACAATAGAAAGTATTGCCTTTGACTTTTTGTGCTCAGCCTCATTTAAATTGGAAAAGAGGAAAATTGGCAGAAATGAACGTAAGTTGGGTTAAAGCAGAAGGAATATAGTAGTTCCTCATGACACTACTCAACTGTACTAGCTCCTTTGCAGCTGGGCCAAGTTGAAATGAACATGGTTATTAGGTACATTGAGCCTCCCTCAGTGGTTTTTCAAGGGCTGGATCTCAAACCCCACCCAGCCTTGCACCAGTGGAAAAATATTTCATCCTGTTTTGATAGACTTGGTCTGGCATCAGGCTTGCTGGAGAGCTCTTTCAAAGTTCCTTTGAAAACAGACAAACCAGGGTGTTGGCATCAACTTGGAGCATCTTAAAAATGCAGACCTTACCCTAGACTCACTGAATCAGAATCTGCTCTTTATCAGGAGGTAAAATGGGGCACTCATGATCCTGCCATGTGGCCTGGTGCTAAGGGTTCAAGTGAGAGATGTTTGTCAAGTCTCAGTACAGGGTACAGCAAATGGTGGCTGTGATGATATCACTGGGCAGAAGAAGGGTGGTGATGGCTATTGGCGGGTTCACTAGCTTGGTAGATGCCTCTGCAGGTTGCTTCTCTAAGGTTTGTCTCTAACAATTATTTTCAATGTCATTTCAGTGTTTCCCGGAGACTGGACCCCAAGGAGCCCCTGGGTAGCCAGAGAGCAGCTTCCCCAACCCCAAAGCAAGCTTCTGCTACTACTCCTGGCCATGAGAGCCCCCGGGAGACAAAGGCACAGGAGGTTGATGGTCCCAGCAGGACGCTGCAGGTAGACAGCAGGACGCAGAGATCCAGGCGGTCCCCCTCAGTGTCACCGGACAGAGGCAGCACCCCTACATCACCCTACTCCGTCCCCCAGATTGCCCCCCTTCCCAGCAGCACCTTGTGCCCTATATGCAAGACCTCGGACCTCACGTCGACCCCCAGCCAGCCAAACTTCAACACCTGCACCCAGTGTCACAACAAAGTCTGCAACCAGTGTGGGTTCAACCCTAACCCTCATCTCACCCAGGTAACCACTGCGCCGGCTCCCCACCTACCCACATCTCATTATGATGCCTTCCCTGATTCCCTTCCTCTCTTTTGCCAACTGTCTTTTTCTGGTTATTTCCCTCAGCATCAGCATATTTGTTCTCCTGACTGGCGAGGGGTGGTCCTGGCTCCAAGATGTGGCAGCAGAGGAAAAAACCTGGCCCTATATCTTAAGAGGGATCTCTACACCCTGAAAGTGTGAGCAGAGTCCTAGAGTAGAAGATGCTTTCTTATTTGGTCCAAGTTCAGTCTGTAAAAATGCCCTTGGAAAAGACCAAAGACCGTCTTATGGGCAACTTCATCCAGTGGTTGCTCATCTGGAAAAGGCTATGAGCAGCTGGAGAACCCAAAGAGAGGCAATAGTCCTGGCCCTGGGCCTGCTTTTCTCCTTAACAGCAGGCCTGGAGGTGGATGCTGATGAGGGGAGCCAGCTTTTAAGGGAGGCAGGAAACTGCCTTCCAGCTGGGCTCTGGGAAGCTCCTCCTCTGGACTTCAGTTCCAATTATCAGGGAGCCTGAGGTAGTAGAGCAAATACCCATTCCCAGAGCTGAAATGAAGGCTGGAGGGGACAAGCCTTCACAAAGAATGTCATTGTACTCTCACCAAGAGGTTACTGTAGGATCTTTTCTGAGAGTTTGGCCTCTTTTTTTTTTTTTTTTTTCCCCCTGGAGGACTCTAGGTCCACAGCCTTATCCTTGCTTTGTTCAGGACTCTGCATTGCTGTAGGATGCCTTGCAAATCCCTTGGAAACTCTCATTCATGATCTCGGGGCTTGGGTGCTCCAATGTATCAACTGAGCTGGGGCCATCCCTTTGAAATGAACTGAGTAGGTTTGCTGGCTTCCTATCAATTCTCTGATGTAACCCATAGAAGTCTCTGATTTTCCCTGCAAGTCTTTGCCCTTGGACAGGATAGAGAGTGGCTAACTGCAGGCATCCGCATGAGCACCTCTGGGATTTTCAGCAACTGGAACCATTTGGACCATGTGAGAGGGGGGCTGAGTGAGAATAATTGTTCACAGGTCAGGCTCTATATATGTCATGAGGTGCTGTGGGTGTGGGATGTGTGGTTTGTGAGAGATAAGTGCGAGGTTCCAAGGAAGGAGCTGTTGGTGTGGGGAGATGATTCAGTACATTTGGAGTTGCTCCTGGAGTATGGAGGCTTCCTGAGGAGGCGTGCATGTTCGTGATTATTGCATCTGTGATTAGAAACAGGCCCATCCCTACAGTGATAAGTTAGGTAAGTGTTTGCTGTTCAGTATTGAGAACAATGTGATTAAGGCTAACAAAGCTCACCTATGTGTTCCCACCAGCAAGAAGCCAGAAGTACATTTCTCACAGAAGCAGGGAGGCTTGGCAGGTGACCCATGCCCCTGTGAGGAACCCCTCCTTGTGCTGGCCTCACCCCTCTGTGTTCCAGATACCCTTAGATGCTCACTTGTGCCACAGCCCCTGATGGAGTGGGTGGAGTTCAAGAGAGAGCCAAACAGGGTGGCACAAATCTCCTGGTGAGCATCCCAGCCCTCACCATACCACAGCCTCTGTCTCCAGGCTCCCCCAAAGCACCTTCAGTGAGGTGGGAAGGGAGCCAACTTTTGGCTGTGCCTGGAAAAACAGCTGAGTAGGAGGACCTTGGAGATACTCAGTCCATCTGCCTTGTTGTACTGGGAGGAAACCAAGACTCAAGGCCAGGAGAAAAAGAGTGCTCCAACTTACTTCAGATTCACAGTTCTCAGTCAAGTAATTCAAGCAAATTCTGGGCTGGACAAATGAAATCGTTCTTTACTGTGAGATTTCTTAAGGCTTTAGCATCCTCAGGGACTTTAGGAGCTCTATAACAGAGCTAAAGTTGGCAACCGTTCCCAGACTTGTTTTCACAGAGCCTGTTAGGGGCTGCTGTTCCATGGCACTTAGTTTAGGAAATGCTGACTTAGTTCATTCTTCATGTTCACACCTGGTAGATGCCCTGTTCTGTCATGGTCTCCAGGCACACTTTTATGTTTCCAGAGTTGGCTTTCAGTGGTGTTCCTGCCAAGGAAAACTCTGCTTGCACATTTTCCTGAGGCGCAGCAAAGTATAATTTGCAAGGCAGTGAAGTTGCCCTTTATCTGCTAAGAGCAGACTCAGCTCCCTCGTCATGTGATGAGAAAACAAATTTGCAGGTTTTGCTCACATACATGCTGTTAGACTGTCCTGGGCATTATATCTATTTTGGACACTTTAACTTGATATTGTGTCAACCAAGAAGGCTTTTCTAGGATTGCCCTGGTGTCTCTGGACTGAGCTCTCATCTGGCCTGAGGTTCTGTGCATGTGTAAGGGATTGGTTCTGAAGTCAGGTACACCTGGGTGGCAGGGGATCAGAGCGATCAGCTTTTTCAAGAAATCAACTACATCACCCACTTTGAAATTACTTTCTAGGAGGGCCCAATTGGAGTAGAAAAGGGTAGGGCACTGCCAGCTCCAGCACACAGGCACCGCAGATGCTAGCCATAGGGGTGCATCATGGAGACCCTATCTGGGGTGGGGAGTATACCTAGAACTGCTAGTATGGGAATGCTAAGCCCTAGTCGAGGAGACCTGGCAGCTTGGGTTCTTTGTCCAGCAGGATACTTTGCTTTCCACTGTATAGAGGGAGATACCTAGCAGTTCCAGAGAGAAATGAGGGCCATACAAGTGGCATGGAGGGTTTCACAACCTTTCTGAGACCACTAATGAAGTTCCTTTTGGGTCTTTGGATATGTGACCATGGAAAATGGAGTGTTTCTTATATGTGTTACAAGCAGAGACTCACTTGCTAGTGTGTGACTCATATTGCTGCATAGATCAGGAGTAGGATAGAACTATTTTGTAAGACCTGGGGATGTCGCTCAGTGATAGAGCACTTGCCTTCCAAGTGCTGGATTCTATCACCAGTGCTGGGAAAAAAAATGAGTACATAAATTAAAGAACTGTTGTGTGAATTGCTGTATGGAGATCAATGAGTAGAATGCAGGGCAAGAACTTGGCACTACTAGGCAGTGGTCACCATGACTCAGTGTTCTTATATCTCATGGCAGCTGTCAAGGTCTTGTTACTTTAGGAGGTACTATAGAAACAGGAGACCAAGTATGGAGATGAGAATTACCCACAGGTAAACAGCCAATCCGGCTAAAAGCAGTGTCGACAACCTGGAATTACTGTTTTCCTGGCCTGTAGGCCCAAGCTTCTTCTGTCAGCTCGAAGGCTGTTGGTTGGCTGCTATACTCTTACAGACATGATGCTCACTATTGTGTCTGTGCCAAGATTGGCAGGTTCTTGAACCTCTGCAGAAAGGAGGAGGTCTGCCATGAATTTTGATGGGTTTCTGAGTGAACGAAGCACATTAAGACTGCATGGTAGGGGCTGAGTTTGTGGCTCAGCAGTGGAGCACTCGCCTCACACGTACATGGCCCTGGATTCGATCCTCAGCACCACATAAAAATAAATACATGAAATAGAGGTATTGTGTCTAACTACAACTGAAAAATAAATGTAAAAAAAAAGACTTCATGGTAGCCAGGTGTGGTGATGCATACCTATAATCTCAGCTACTGGGAAGCCTGAGGCAAGAGGATCCCAAGTTCCAGGCCTGCCTTGGCAACTTAGTGAGATCTTATCTCAAAATAAAAAATAAAAAGGACTGGGGTTATATCTCAGTGGTAGAGTGCCCCTGGGTTCAATCCCTAGTACCGCCTCCCCACACACAAAGACTGCATAGAAATTGGGGAAGGAGCTCAGAGCATGCTCCCTATTTACAGCCAAAGGAACTTCGAGTCTTAGGAAGTCTTGGCTTATTCTGGATCATTCTGGAGCAAAAGAGCTGGCAACCCAGAATCAATGGCTCGGTCTCCAGTTTTCTTTCATGTTCTCCCATCCATGGCCCACTGTCACTCAGGCTGAGGCTGGTCTGTAATTAATGGAGCTGAGCCAGCCATTTTTCTTGGTGGAACCTGTGTCTTTCTGGATTTCTCCAGTTCTGGTAGCTCAGGCAGGTAAATAATTTCTCCTCTTTGAAACCTCACAGCAAAAGACTAGAGAGTTTCTTTTGGGAATCTGCACATTTCTTATCACTCACGAGAGACCTCCCTCTGACGTCAGGAGGCCAGAGGTGTTATTATTCAGTGCCCAGTGATAAGGAAGAAGCAGGCAAAGTTCTCCTATTCTGTTCCTCATGTGGGGTTTGAGCAAGTACTTGTATTCCTGAATATCAGAATTCTCTGAAGGAAAAACAGAAGTCCAAGGGTTGGCCTCAGTAGCTTTGCTGATGCCCTTTGCCAGTTCAGGCCTGCTAGTCCACTTCTCCAGTCTTCAGAGAATTATATTTGGGCCAGTCACTCCTTTTTGCACCAGGAAGTAGGCTCTTGCTGTTGTTGTCAGGACTCTATTCTGGTAGCTGGGGGTAGGAGATAAGGCGTGGGCAAACACCAGCTGGGCAGAGGATGGGAAGGCGAGGTGGGGTAGGTAGTGGGCTGGGAGTGAGCTGCAGGAGACTGTGAGCAGAGACCTGGGGTTAGCACAGCCTACTTCTGTTGGCCTCAGAGCCTCCTGTCTCAGAGCCACCCACAGCACATCCCAGTATGGGACTCCTAGATGAGTCTGTTCTTGCCCTCAGAGCAGCAACCAGGAATGAGTACTGTGCAAAGATATGGCTGCTTGTATATCTAGGCTGAGTCCTCTCAGAGCACTACCTGAAGGGGGCCCACAGTCTATATCTGGGAGACTCATGCTTTGCCCCAGTGGCAGGCAGCATCCCCAACCTGCCAGGTCCAGCAGTCCATCTGTTCCCATGCCTCTTGCTCTAGTCAGACTTACAAGCCCCTCTAAGAAAACTGCTAGAGTCTTCCCTAACCTGTTCCAAGGTTTGGACTCCACTGAGACCATACCAGGGACGTTTAAGCCACCGTGCTTCCTACCTCTACCCTCATGGTAAGCCTCCAGCAGAGGCAGTTATCCAAGCTGAG